AGAAAAAGAAGTTATCTCAAACATTTTGCATTAGTTTCTATTAAATAAATCTGCCCACTCCACTTCCCTATTTCCAAAGTGTACACTGTTTTAGGACAGGGACCTTGTTTGTCTTATTCACTGCTACATTCCTCAGCACTTGAACAGCACCTGAAATACATTCATTGCTCGCCTGATTTTATGAAAATGCATTAGAATTCAGTTCAGTTATATATGGGTTAAATTGACTTTTCTTCTAATGAAAAAAAAAATTGCGCCCCACTTATAAATCTCTTCCTATGAGAAAACGCACTTCATGGCTCAAACAATTATCTTTCAAATGAAATTTTCAAATACAACTGATCTACATGTGGAAGCTTATATAGATGATACATAGAAAACATATTAAAGAAGATACACATCTTCACTAAAGGCTGGTATTTCGTGGCCAAAATAATCCAGTGAGCCATTAACATGTCTAAAACAAAAATTTTAGTGGGTACCTTCTGGAATCAACCAAATGAATAAATGCATTTTGGATTGCCTGGTGGGTATGAAAATTTAGTACACAAAGTACAGTTTTGATGTCATCTGGTCCAGAACACCAAGCAGAATCCTAGATTCACCAATTATGGTCCTGTTATTAATCTTTTCATTAATGATTTGGCTGGTGCAATTAAATTATGCAAATGAAAGTACGCTACGTAGATCTGCTAATGGCATTAAGATGAGTGGGTTCAACGGCAACTTAAGAGAACAAAGCTGGAATTCAAAATGCCAGATTCTGTTCACAGGATCTAAAACTTTGGGGTGGGGGGGGATAATATTTTAGTAATTTCCTTAGAGAATCATAAAATGGATAACTCCTGCAAAGGAAATTGTCCCTGGATTCCGTAAGTCAGCCTGGAGCATAATGTTTCTCCGCTAAGAACTTTTCCACCACTAATAAAATCAGTTAAAAGGATACTGATCCTTTATCCACTCACCTTGTATTCATTTGCAATGTTAGAAATCTAAGGTAAAATTCTGTATTATATCACCATTTTCCCTACTAGTTCCAAAAATTTAAGAATTTGACCCAAGATCCTTAAGTACTGGAAATCAAATAAAGTCATCCTGAAAGGGGTTTCTGCCAAACTTATCAGAAATGAGAATGGGGGAAAAAAAAAAAAAGATTTTCTTATTGTTGACTCACGGAGTCTCTCTTGCTACCAAATGCCCTTTGTGAAAGCTAAGTGCCTGTTCTCCACATGCAAGCCCAGGCACTTTGCAGTCTCTCCTAAAAGGTTCCAGTTTTTATTTCACTTTGCGAAATTGGCAGGTAGACAACCACACTTTAAAACAATTGTATCCTCAGGGAGTAGACCTACTTTGTTTATTGGCTCCTCTGATCTAAATGCCTCCTGAACTCGTTTTGGGTTGAATGAGTTATATGCTCTTTCACCTAAAATCTGTACTTGGATGCTTCAAATTAGGAAGGTCTTTGGTTGTTAATTTCTAACAGAAATTCAAGACAGTAATCTCTAACAATTCTTGTAACAATTCAAAAACACACTTCCTTCCTCTTCTGGAATGCTTCATCCATTTACAAGCTCACGTACTTATTAACAAATCTGTATTGCTTACTAAATATTTTTAAGAAATATAACATGGAAGTAATGTAAAGACTACATTAAAATGTAAGGTAATACAAATCACAGGAACTATAGGAAACTATGTGATAGTTTAGGAGAAAGGTGACGAGAATCTGAATTAAGTAACAGTTAAGAAAGGAAAGAAGACAAAAGAGAAATAATACTTCATTAGAATGAACACGATTTGGTCATTCACAAAATGTGGTCTGTGAGACAGAAAGCAGTTAGCAACACAACCAAGTGTTCTAACTAAGTACACTGTGTTGATGATAATTCTGGCAATAGATAATACAAGCAGAGAAGCAAAACTGGAATGGAAAAGGTCATACATTTTTTATATATTTGAGTTTTAGGCTTCTGCAGAATATCTACCAGGCAATATCTAACAAGCAGCTGGAAACGTGTATTTGCTGAGGTACACAGAGGGACAGACACTTGGGAGTCATCAGGGTAGGGCATGGAAATGGCTGAGATCACCCAAGGAGAACTGATACAGTGAGATGAGATGAAACTGAAAACAAAATCGGGAGAAACACTAATATTAAGGGATAGGAAGAGAAACTAAAAAAAAGATAGATAATGAGTAAACACAGAGGTAGGAAAAGAAGCAAGAGACATTTCCTTTTTTTTTTTTTTAAGATTTATTTATTTGAGAGAGAGAAAGAGAGAGTGCACAGGAGGAGGGGCAGAGGGAGAAAGAGGGAGAGAAGCAGACTCCCCACTGAGCAGGGAGCCCAACGCAGGACTCTGGGACCCTGAGCTCATGACCCAAGCCAAATCAAGAGTTGGACGCTCAACCAACTGAGCCACCCAGGCGCCCCTGCAAGGGAGGCATTTCTGTGGAAGTCAGAGGAGATGAGGGTTTCAAGAACAGAGCAGTCAATTTTGTCCAAAATGATGGGGAATTCAAGTAAAATAGAAAGTGAAGACAGGCCACGAAATTTTTCTCTAACCTATGTCAGAATAGTTCAAGCAGAAATGAAAACCAGAACACAGTAAAGTAAGATGGTAAAAACCCAGGCTGTTCTGAAAAGAACTATGGTGATAAGAAGGTGGTAAAGGAGATAGCATGAGGTTGAAGCAGAGTCAAGATATCAGGAGGAAGACATGAAGTGTTTCTTATGGAAAAATATAAAAAGCTATTCTGCAAAAGAAAAGTTTTAAAAGGTATGTACATTCAGGGCTTCTATAGTATGTATCTTAGATAATAATAATAATTACAGATTACTTAAGGAAAATATAGTTAATCACATTTGAGGTACCTTCCTATCTCATATACTACTCTCTGCCCCGGACTCAAAGCAATGACATTGGTAAGGACCACATGTTACCACCTTCACACTCACCCCCAAGATATCCAACCCCATGGAAGTGTCCTTAACTGCCCAGTTATCATGCCCTCTAAAAAAGTAGTTTTAACTGAGAAACAAAGAAACTATATTCAAGGAGAGTGGGCACTTGAAAATCTATGTCCACTCAGGGTTTGGGGAGTTCATTTTTCCTACGTGCACAAAGATGAACAAACAGAGAGATTTGGTCTTCGGAGAGAAACAGAAGCTCAGAGAAGAATCATAATGGAAAGAATATGTGGCCTCAGAGGGAGAGAAATCGAGAAAATAGTTGTCTCAGTCCCAGCCCACATACCTGTTTCTAGCTGCAGTTCCTATAAGGGCAAGCTACTCATCACATTTATGAGATGCTCCTAAATCTCTTTAATATTAACCACCTACATGTGAGGTAAATGAATGCATTTTCTTTCCTTGCAACGAAATTTTGACTAGAAAACAGAATTCTTTTTCTGATTCTTCCAGTGGAACTTGGAAAACTTCCAATACAAAGCTATGTAGTTAAGTTTTAAATGTTCAGCCACAATGCTATAAATCTTATGAGAAGCAGGAAGGTGACATGGCAACTGTAATGAACTGTACTTATGGGAATAATGAGCTTATTACAGTATTCGTTTTCATTTTGTAGAAAAGTCAGTCAGAAAGACTATTCTTTGGGGGCTCCTGGGTGGCTCAGCGGGTTAAGCATCTGCTCAGGTCATGAGCTCCAGGTCCTGGGATGGAGGCCCGTGTCAACCTGGCTTCCTGCTCAGCAGGGAGTCTGCTTCTCCCTCTTCCTCTGCCCCTCCCCTCTGCATGTGCTCTCTATCTATCTCTCAAATAAATAAAAAATAAAATAAAATCTTTAAAAAAAAAAAGGAAAGACTTTTCTTTGAATGCTTCTTCAGTGATTCTGCTCTATGCTTCATAACAAAAATGAGTATCACAGCTTCCTTACAATGAAGGACAAGAACAGTAAATTGTGATTTTTACCAGCTTTCCAGTTTCCCCAAATCATCCTCTTAGCTTGGAATAACGTTATCTCTCTTCTCTGAATCATGACATTACCCCTCTCCAAACTATATTGGCAATTATATTCTAATCAATAGGCTACAACAATAGAGAAGTGAAAATACTCACCCCCCGACCCTCTGGGCACGACTATGACTCCACCCAGCCTCTCACCTCTCAACCCTGGCACGACTACCAATTCTACATCCAGGTACTCAGATTCCACTTGGAACCTGGTTAAACTCTTTCAGAATGCTGTTTTCAGCCTCGTGCAGCCCTTCCTCCTAGTTTGGCTTAATTCCATTCCCACAGTTCAAGCAACAGGCTGATCCGATCATCAGTGCTCGGCCAGAGAATCTCGCCCTCATCCCTTCCTCCAGACCTCTGCTTACTTCTGATGTCCTTGCTGCTCCTGAACCTGGGAATGTCCCCAGGGAACAGTTGTGGCCTGGGAGTAGAGCTCTTGAGACAAGAGCAGTGGGTAGATGGAGGGACGATCAGAACCCAAAAGGAAGAAAAAGACACTGTAGGTGACCTTGAGGATAGACTCTATATGTCCCTCCTGCTCATACTGTACCCTCAGAAACTGACATGGTGCCAGCAAGAGGAAGCACTTAGAAAATATCGTTGAACGAATGGACCACAAGGACAGGAGAAGTAGCAAATCACTCTGCCTACACCCAAGAACTTCTCATTCTCTCAGAACTGAAGCTTCTCCAAATGACACAGGCTCACTATTTCATCTTGCTTAACCTGATCCAACTCCAAACTCTGCAGGGAACTGGCAGCATGTCTTTAAAAAATATGTAAGTAAATAATAAAAAAGATTAATCCATTTCACCTACGAAAGATATCTTTGCTTTAATATGTTCCTCCAAATGTTATTCTAGGGTCCTTGAAAAATGCTATTTATTTTCTATAACAATTATTACATGAAAAGTTGGGGACATATATCTTTAATATTAATATACCAACATAAATACCAATCATAAATCATGACATTGTAATTTATATTACGGAATCATCATTAAAACATAAAGTATAAACTTACATGTTTGGACAGGTTGGGGCTCTTGGAATCAACATCATACCTACAAGATTAAAAGAGAAAACTCAAATTATTTCCACAAAATAGAGCTACAGAAAAATATCAGTATTTTACAAGAAAACATAAATAATATAAATAGAATCAATCATGAAAAACTAGCAAATTTAGAAGTTTCTTATAATCTGTCATATATATGCCAATGGTAGAATTCACAATCCCTGGGTCCTTTTATTTCCACAACCTAAGAAGAGGTCCTGATATTTTCAGTCAACAATTCTGCTGCTTGATAAGGAAGTTTAAAACTGTACCATTGTTAAAAAAGTTTATAAAGTAAAAATAAAACAAAACAAAAAAGTCTTCTCATTTGTGTGAATCAACAGTATCCTAATACTGCTCAAAATTCCCAAACAACTGCAATTCCTCTCCACTGGGTACGATTAAAAAATAAGCAGGTTAACAGGCTGTCATTTGTGTTCATTTTAAATTTTTATTTAGCATTTTAAATGCTACCATTAACTTTGAAATTTGGCTAAAGTAATGAGACATTACTTTTCCCCAATCACTGGACTTAGAGAAACCATGTGTTTTACACAAAGAGAAATGCATTCATAGAGGACTATTTTCTGTTCTGTTTTTGACCAGTTGGTATTGGAAATAAATGATTTCCTAGAAAGATCCTGGGAAAACATCACTCACTATCACTTTAGCCCCTCATTTTAAAGAATTTGTAGAAAAAGTAAGATTGCTAATAGTCAAAACAACTTGAAATCGCTGAAGTCTTAAGTAGGAAAATATCTGTATTGGCTCCAGTGTTTCTCCCAAATCAGATTCCTTTCACGCTCCTTGCACATAGCTTCCTACCAAAACTTAACTGCCTTTTTTTTTTTTTTTAAAGATTTTATTTATTTATTTGACAGAGAGAGACACAGCGAGAGAGGGAACACAAGCAGGGGGAGTGGGAGAGGGAGAAGCAGGCTCCCCGCAGAGCAAGGAGCCCGATGCGGGACTCGATCCCAGGACTGTGGGATCATGACCTGAGCTGAAGGCAGTCGCTTAACCAACTGAGCCACTCAGGCGCCCTTAACTGCCTTTTTTTAAGGTTAATTCAAGCCTTCGCTCTCATATAACATGAATGTTTTTACAGAGAAACAGAGCATCTCAATCAATAAAAGGCAAAGAAACAGAGTTCACAGAAGGTACCAATGCTGAGCAGAGGTTCGCTTACTCCTTAGCAAAGCAGGTTCAACCATAGACCACCTTCAAAATTGTGTGATGCAAAAATACCTGCCTGGGAAGAATTGCAAATTACTCTCCTTTCCATCAGGGCATTCGGATCACTCCGAACAGCTGTAACCTAGAATTTTCAATCAGCTCATTGCCAACATCTACTGAAAACCTACAGATGTTAGTACAAAAAGTATTTCTTATGCAAGACAATTTTTTTTAAGAGTAAGACTGAAATTAGCAACTACAGCAATATCAAAGGTGAAAAATAACTGTGCTGGCTTCTTCCCAAGAATCGGAAACCATTTTCTATAAAGGGTATACTGTGGACCAGGGAGAAATAACATGGCGTGCTCAGTTCTGTTAAAGGAGGCAAAAAGAAAAGGAGTTAATGTTTTCATCACCAAGAGTTTAAGTATCTTCAAATACAATCCCCTTTCATTGCCTTTAACAAAGCTTTTTAATGCTAATATCTCAAAACTATGCAATAGACAGCATCCGTCTGAGGGCTTTAGGTAATAACGTTGGATTATAATGCATTTGAAATTATCATGAGTTTTCCTTCCATGGAATTTTCCTTCTAACTTTTCTAAAAGTATCAAGACCACTCTGGGCCTCACCCTCAGAGGTCAGACGTAAACACTACATCCTAGAGAGTTAAAATGTGTGTGTGTGCTGAGGTGTATGAGTGGCATACTTTCATTAAGGAGAAGTGATTATATGGAAAGCAGAAAGCTAAGTAGTTTACCCCTAAGAGGGTGCATCCCCACTGCCTAAATTTACTCAGGCCAATTCTGTAAACTTGAAGCTGCTACTGAAATATTATTACCAGAGTACAGAATTGGCAGTAACTGACTTGGGTGGATCCTAAGGATCATGTTTGCAAATAGAGGTAACAGATATTGACTAGAGTTTTTCCCGTACTTCTGAAATTCCAACGAAGGCCCCAACCAAAAACCAAAGATGCTAAGTATCCCCTCATGCTTGGCTCAGAGGTGCTCAAGAGTCACTCTCATTAAGAGTCAGACCCTTCTCCACAAACTGACTCATAAAGTGACAGGCTATTCCTACTTCTTGGGCAGCAAGAGGAGGTTCCTTCCACTCCCCAAAGCCAAGAAGGGTAACTCCAAAATCTGAGGTGCCTGAAGAAGGAGAAGACAGCATCTGGTTTCCCAGTCAGATGCTGTTGAGCTGCAGAACCTACCTACGAGTCTGGTCTGTGGCTGCCAATAAAAGACAATGTCAGGTGACAGTCCTAAGAAAAGCCTTCTGAGAACAGAGGAAGAAGCAGAGTTACCTTTGCGCTACCTTTAAGGTCTAGATTCTTCCGAAGAGACGAGACCCACACCTCGGCCCCAGCTCATCTACCTTTCCAGCTCATCTACCTTTCCTTCTTCCGCCCCTGCTCCCCTGCAAGTAGCTAAAACAATAGCTCCAACTGAGGGGAGAGGAAGTGAAGAGTTTTGAAGTAAGTTTGAGATTAAAGTTTTAAAGTGAAGAGTACATATGATTAACAAAATAAGATGGTTCTAATAAACAAAAGTGACTGAAAATCCTCAAAATTAGACCTTGACATTGTTAAGGGAGTCCTTAACCAATGGGAAAAACTGGAATTAACAGTATTGGGAAGAAATTTTTAAAAACTTACTTTCCTCAAAGTCTTGAGATCCTTCAAAAATAAAATACAATAACATTATACATTCCACAAATATCACCATTTGATTTATCAAGAAGGAAAATAATTTGCTAGGTAAGTCAAATCTAGACTCCTAACTACCTTGTGCTGTTCCACTTTAAGTGAAAAAACAAGAGTGAAAAAGATTGTATCTCATTTCTCCTATTCTCCAGCTCATGTTATATAGTGATGTGACTACCCACACCTCTTGCTCAAAGGCATTTTTGTGTAATTGTTCTGCCAATAATAATTTTCAATTGTGACAAAAAAGTGATTTATGAAGTACCAATACCACTATCAGTATGATAACTGTAACAAAATCAATAGATGCCAAGGTTTATGACTTTATCTGTGATACATACACAGCATGATGACAGAGACCATGTCTCTTAAATGAAGAAGTACACATCAAGTCAAAAAGGCAGGAGAATTTTAGAATTCAGTTGATAAACTAATCTTAAATATGTATCTCAGGCATATTAAAGTAACAATAATAATTACTATGGATTAATCAGAACTTACAGGAATTTGGTCCAGTTGTGACAGGAAGACATATTCATTCTATCTCTCCCTCTCTTTTTCTGTCATTATAACTTTCTATCAGCATTGAAAGTTAAATTAAAAAGGCTCCTGAACACCTTTTCTCAAACCTTCCATAATAGGCAATTCTTTACATCACACATTTTCCCAGCTTCTTTTTAACTGTTTTTTTTAGAATTTTATGAAATCAATGGACAGATTAAATAAAACACAATTCTGAAAAACATTTACATCTGTCTGTTGGCCAATTCAGACTACTGTGTTCTTCAACATCGCTGTTCCTTCAAGCGGACATGTTGTCATAAATGCATTGGAGTATCGCTGTAGTTCTCTGGGAGATGCAGGTTGGGGTTACAAATGATTTTATTGCCTACTTTATCCTGTTTTTATTTTCCAAATAGCCTACAATGAATATTTCTTCCTAGGAATTGCACATTGCTAAGACAAAATTTAAAAACCAATTATACCCAGTAGTGCAATTACTGGGTATTTACCCCAAAGATACAAATGTAGAGATCCAAAGGGGTACATGCACCTCGATGTTTATAGCAGCAATGTCCACAACAGCCAAACTATGGAAAGAGCCAAGATGTCCAACGACAGATGAATGGATAAAGAGGAAGTGGTATATATATACAATGGAATATTATGCAGCCATCAAAAGGAATGAGATCTTGCCATTTGCAACGATGTGGATGGAACTGGAGGGTATTATGCTGAGCGAAATAAGTCAAACAGAGAAAGACATGTATCATATGACCTCACTGATATGAGGAATTCTTAATCTCAGGAAACAAACTGAGGGTTGCTGGAGTGGTGGGGGTTGGGAGGGATGGGGTGGCTGGGTGATGGACACTGGGGAGGGTATGTGCTATGGTGAGTGCTGTGAATTGTGTAAGACTGTTGAATCACAGACCTGTACCTCTGAAACAAATAATACATTATATGTTAAAAAAAAAAAAAGAAGAAGATAGCAGGAAAGGAAAAATGAAGGGGGGGAATCGGAGGGGGAGATGAACCATGAGAGACTATGGACTCTGAGAAACAAACTGAGGGTTCTAGAGAGGAGGGGCGTGGGAGGATGGGTTAGCCCTGTGATGGGTATTAAAGAGGGCACGTTCTGCATGGAGCACTGGGTGTTATATGCAAACAATGAATCATGGAACACTACATCAAAAACTAATGATGTAATGTATGGTGATTAACATAACAAAAACATAATAAAAAAACACTTACCTAATTGTAAAATTTAAATAAGTATAATTTATCATATGCCAATTATCTCTCAATAAAGAAAAAATAATAATTAGGTATACTAATGAAAAAATACAGTGTTTTCCACACTTATTTGGGTAGATATGCTGGAAAAAATCATGAAGAAAAAGAAAGAGAGAAAGAAAGAAAGAAAGAAAGAGGGAAAGAAAGAAATGAAAAAGAAAACCTGCTCAGGTTAAAGGTTTTATGTGAGATTTTCTCATGGTACATGGTAAATAAAAAGGAATTAATAAAAGTGATATCAAAATACTACATGAACTAAGAATATACTTGTTGCTTTTCTTGATAATCAGGTATCCCTTTCTCTGGCCCTAAGTGTTTGAATTTTT